ATTTGGTCGTTGTTGGGAGGGGGAGGTCGTAGCCCCTGAAAAAGGGGGGGAGGTCGTAAAAGCTCGACCAAAATCCCCCGAATGCTGTGCCCTGGCCTAACCCCTTGAACGCCTCCGTGTCCACAGCGCACTAGATTGTACTTATGAGGCGTCAAAAACTTGTAAGTACATCATCATTCATCGCTTCTCTTCCATTATCACTATGGAGACTCGCTTACCTTCACGAATTACAATGTCACGTGGAACACCCCGCTCGATGACCTTCAGCACCATATCACCGGTCATTTGATAGAAAAACTGTAAATATTACGATTCGCAGAGTGAAAAACGGGAATTGAAAGTACAAGCAAAAATTAGAGAAAAGAACAGCGAATTTCTTTGGCGCTCACCTCTTCTCCCTCCTCCAAATGGTAGTCTCTACGTGAATTCGGCCCTCCCACGAAGAACAGTTTGAGATACTCAGAAAACCTGAAGATTCAAGAAATATCTAGTCGATTCAGTTGATCTGGCTTTGATTAAGCGGAATGTCATCTGTTTGCTACGTTGGAGAGTATGTTCCTGCCATTTTTTATCAGGTTGATTTAACAGAGTGATTTTCATAAGACCATTGATAAGATGCCATTCAAAGGCGCTTTGGTTGGTACACAGAAGTAAATTACAACTTCTGGCACTGTTCAACTTATTACTACCCCAATTTTCCGAAAACGGGCCGGATCTTGATCGACTTTTTTCTACGGGGGCAGATTTGGCTGAAAGTTGGGTTCTAGGGGTAATTCGACCTCCTGAACACGAATATCACATCCGCTCCTCCCGAAACTGCCTGGCGCCCGCGCCACAGGCGCCGGCGCCAAAGTACCCTAGATCACCAAATCTGCTCAAATCTTGTGCCACCTAGGGTATGTTTCGACCTCCTGAACCGGAATATCTCATCCGCTCGGCCGAGACCTCCGGTATGGCGCCGCAGATTACAGGCCGCGGCCCGCAAAAAATTCCTTAAATCACTGGCCGACTGTGGCGCGTGCTTCAGGCACTTTTTCGCAAGGTGGATGTGCCTGATATTCGGCCTTCACGAGTCGAATTTACCCCTTAAAACCCAGATGTCAGCCGATCTGCCATACGTAAAAAAAAGTATCAAGATCCGGCCTGTTTTCAGCACAAACTGGGGTAAGTAAATAGTTGGAAAAGTGCCACTTCTTGTCTGAAACAACAAATTTTTTCCCGAATGCAGGCCTAGAAATAACGCGAGGGCCTCGTCTTTGCTGCAGCATATACACCTACAAATATGCTTCGACAGACGAAGCTATGAGTGTGTTTTTGTTGAATAAGATCCACACCGCTTTAGAAGACTCATATTCATCCTAGTGGGAAGGTCCTTGAAGACTCCAACTCCGGTGTTGAGCTCAGGCGCTTTCGTGACTAGCAGCGACTTTGCCTAGTCTATAGGGCCTTTTATCCCATTTTTTAAGTTTATACCGGGTTCTGGGTGGTTCTTCTGCTCTTTTTCACCGTTCGCTAGCCTGTGCATTAGACCCTCTCTTTTCCTCCTACAACTCACCAAAGTCGATCAAGAGCGAGGACAAGAGTTTTCAACGTCGACTTCGCCATTCTCAAACTTGACAGATGAATGTAGCAGTCTCTACGGCTGTGGCACCCTCCTGCACAAGGCCCAAATGTAAGCAATAGATTCTGTGACTTGACTCTTTCAGACCGAAGACGGTGTCAAAAATGCTCCTTTTGAACACCTAGAATTTGTTTTTTTACGCTTCAGTTTTTTTGGAAGACTTTTTCGGAATTTTTTCCGTTCTGAAAAAAACAAGCGCTCTTGTCGACCATACAAAGTCCTCTAAATGGTATATTACCGTCGGCCTTACGACAATCAATCGCTGCAGAACCGAGCTATTAACGTGGGAGCTTATTTCCCTCCCTAACGAATCAGAATCAACAGAATAGTGCTATGAGTTGAAAAAAACCGCCCCTAGTTCAAGCCTTAATAAGTGAAAGGAAAAGAAAACAATAGAAAAAAATTACAGAAAGGAAAAGCAAAGAGAAAAATGTCAGCGAAAAATGGCTATTATAATGTTGTTGTTATGGGGATTTGCGTATGCTTCTTCTTACAACAAAAATGTGCCCGAAAATGCAGAGGAAGAGGATTATGCAAGGTAGATATATCCCTCGACGAGTTAAGGTAGTTTACTAGTTATAAGAGCTAAATCTCGCTAGAACAGTCCACATTCAATCACCCACCTCTCACAACCAACCTTTCGGGACCTACATAGTTACCCTTTCAGGTCATGTTCTAAATAGTGATGGTGACAAAGAGGCTCAAAAAAGGGTCTCATTTCAAGTTTTGACTCTCTATCATTGGATGCTTACGGAAAAAAATGCGAAAAATGCTAATAAAAAATGCTAACAAAAACACATGATTGAATCAGACCAGCACGGAGACCACGAGTGAGATTCCTCGCGTAACAACAAAAAAAAACGAAAATAGGAAGTATCTTTGAGAAAATCCTTACATGCATTTGTTACAGACTGGTGGCACAAAATCTTCCTTATTATCGACGATCCATTTTACTATATCGATTGTTTTCGTCTCCATTCCTCAGCCTGCTATATGCTGCCTATATGCTTCGCAAAAAATTAGCAAAAGAAGGTAAAATAATGAAAAAAGACTCCTCAAATTCTGGTAAATAATGCATAAAATCCCCCTGAACTTTGATAAGAATGTAGAAACACTTCGATAAACAGACCCTTTTGGTAGATGACTTCCTTCCGTAGAGTGGGATCAGTGCGCATCGGTGATGATTGATTACGGTAAATGGCACGATAACATCAGAGCATTATCATCCTCTAGAAGCGATCGATTAGTGAACTGTAACTTGTGTGGAAATGCATTATTTGGTGATTCGTAATCCACATAATTGCTTCTTGCGGAGGAGTGTTTTAGAGAGCTCAATATAATTATGTTTTCATATGCTTTTGTCTCGAATCCATCGACCCCAGAGGGATAATCGGCTTGGTTAGTCTAGGAAGGGAGCAATACTGGGTTTAGCTCCCGACTGTACGCCTAATACCCGGCGTCATTTGCCATTCTCCCACTGCGGCTGCATCTAAATAAGTGAGAGGGCAAGAAAAATGAAGAAGAAGGACCAACGGAAAGCGATCCTCTTCAAAATACGCCATTCCCTTTTATCGAAAAAGGTCAGTGTCTTCTCTGCTGATCAGTCTACGGGCTTTATTTTCCCTGCATCAGTACCAACAGGAACATTCAAGCGTTGTCGAAGTGAGTGGACAAGAAATATGTCAGCTTGTCAGACCGCTAGATTCGATCGAAATGCAGTATGGGCGCGTTCAATCATATCCTTGAATCCTCACGAAAGCTTGGCTTCGTCCACGTTGAAAAGGTGACAAACGGATGAGAGGAGATCCATAACCATCGTGTTTTTCTCACTGACCCGTCCATCAACGCAAGAATATGAAGAGGACCTGGCAGATGGAAAGCCTTACGCTGCCCGGGGTGGGCAGCGATCAGTTGCATCCCCTTCACCGTCAGTGCGTGCAAGCGATGCCATTATGCCGCTTATACCAATCTCCGCCCTGATGCTACATACTGTAGAAATATTAGGTCGTTGCAAAAGAAATGCAGGATTTCGTTTTTTTGTATTTAATACTTATTTTATTCCAATAAAATGTAAGTGTTATATATCATTCGAAAGCTTATCTAATGCTCTTTCTAGCGATACTTAAGATTGCCGTATGTAATTCTTTTTAGAGGCCACAAAATCGTTGAAGGCGTTTTTGACATCGTCATGGCTTTTGAAGCCTTTCTCTCTAAGATAGTTGTCCAGATGCTTGAAAAAGTGGTGATCGGTGGGCGACAGGTCTGGTGGTGAGTATGGTGGATGAGGCAGAGTTTCATAGCCCAATCCGTTTATTTTCTGGAGGGTAAATTGTGCAAAGTGTGGTCGGGCATTGTCGTGGAGAAGAGTCCGGAATCGTGGAGTCCCTTCATATTGACCAACCTTGGGCACATGCGTTAAGGCTTCTGATGCATTTCGTCGATTTGTTGACAGTACTTCTCTGCCGTAATTGTTTCACCAGGATTCAGGAAGCTGTGATGGATGAGACCGGCGGCAGACCACCAAACATGAGGTTCATCTTCAAGGCTGGTGTTGCCACAGCGAAACTTCTGGAACCAACGTTGGACCGTAGATTCGTTGATACTTCCTTGACCCCAAACTTCGTTGATGTTCCGAGCTGTATCGGCAGCGTTTCGTCCTAGCTTGAACTCATAGAAGAAAATAGTGCGAAATTCACGTTTCGACATCTGCAATAAAATGTCAATAAAAATTATAATAAAATGAATTACAACCAATCTTGGAGTATCATTTAGAAAGAGCATGAGATGAGCTTCCGAATAGTATATAACACTTCATATTAAAGTAACATATTATTGGAATAAAATAAGTATGAAATACAAGCAAGCAAAATCCTGCATTTCTTTTGCAACGACCTAATACCTGAACTCAAACGTATTGCCGAGAAAGCGCTTCAAAACCAAAAGAAGGTTCAAACATGTTGGCTATATCCATGTCTGAGTTCTATGTATTACAAAATGGCGCCTTAAAACGGTTACGTAATTTCGTGTCATTCCTCGTTTACACTCCTGTTCTCTTGCATTTGTATACACTTTGGGCCCTCGTCGCTATCGCGGCACGCCTCTGTATGTTCCAGAGATGGCTCCATATAGGCCGTATAGCCCGGCCGAATGCCGGTTAGTTGCAACTACCTATGTCTTCACTCATTTGAGGTCCCTTCTTCACCGTTTTGGGAAGGAGATGGGTCAAATTGACAGTGCGGAAGATCCTGCCTCACCCATGTGATCATCGTATAGTGCCTTGAGACGTTCCCGTGCGTCGTTGAGAGCAATGCGAATCGAACCAGAAAGCTTTCCATAGCTGAGCATAGATCGCCTGCAATGTTCTTGGAGAACGTGGCAATTCGTACAGCAACTCCCAAATCTCCAGTGATTTTTTTTCTGCATCGAGACATAGTACCTGGGGGCGGCTACTCCATCAGAACTGTCCTTGGGAGCCATCGCTTACCACTCTTAGGTTATCCTGCTGTTTTTCTCACCTCCTTATCATTAATATCAAATCACTCCTAAATCATTTTGCTGCAGAAACCATGTGGTAACCTCATTTTCTACTAACCTTATGTGGAGGGTGGCGGGATTGAATGCCGTGAGCCTTCAACGAGTTGCGACTTCGTATCCTGCACGTTTCGCAGCAGTCGGACCGGGTGAGTTCCTCTTGACTCCTAAGGAGCCAGCAAAGCGAGTGGGTATTTTGTTGCGGATTCTACCTCTTCAGCGCATTCACTAGAGACTCTCGGACCCTAAGTCCGAAAATTTTAACGCTTGCAGGCGCAACCCTTCAACCTTGAGCCGCAGAATTTCAGGTTCAGGAAGATTGCCGCGGCAAAAGCTTCTGTGCAATAATACTAACGACCTTAACTCACTTTCTCGAAAATCTTTACTAGTGAGTTTTGCATATGTAAGCTTTCCTATGAAACGGTATCCCTATATTGACAATGCGCGAGCAGTGAGAGATAAACGTGTCCGCATGAGATTAGGGGGCACTAAGTTGGCGTTGGTGAGGATTTTCTGGGATCCAAATTCCGTTACCCCTACCGTGCTGCAGTTAATGCTCGATATGACGTACGGGAACCACTCATTTACCAATGCACTATTCAGTAGCCTCTGCTTGCTGTACATAAATCTGCTTCGTCTCGCCCCACCAGAGCGTGTGCTTCAAGGATAGGTATCGATTTTACGCGTATGCAATCAATAAGCACAACTCTTTACGTGTTGAGCGATTAGAAATAAGGAATCTCCCTCGAAACGTTATCAATTAGCTGTACCGTAGCGATTCAGAGTAACATTCAGATGAGTCACCATTTTCTTATTGGCTTTCAGACAACTCCGAAACGATCTTTAGCTGGACGATCACCGCAATCAGTCTCGCCACCACACTCCTACAACTCCACTACTTTGAGTTCTCCAGTAAGTTACACAATTACTAATCTGCGGGTTTCGAATATTGATGGTGATAATAAAGATGATAGATGTTAAAGTCCAAAAAGTGGGACGTGAACGAGGTTTCCCAGTAGTGCTATAAGGATGAAGCCGCAGTCCATATCTGAGGGAAGATAGGGACGTGGAACTGGGTGCCTCGGGAAGTGCTTCTCTCTAGCTCATGTCATGTCCACCCCAAGCCAACCGCATCGATAACAACTTTACTTCCAGCGCACCGGCTCACGCAATGTGTCCAATTTCGCAACGGGTATCTCATCGTCCTTTGACGACACTGACGGATCCTTACGATCTCCATCAGGAAAACGTCACTCCACCAATTGGCCAACAGATGAACGTCGAGCACACAGTGAAGACTCGCGCTATCCATCAACCAGATACAGTCGCGAAGAGGAATCTGAAAGAGATCTGAGAGCCAGTGCAAGTGGCGGCTCTCCACGCAGTTACCGATCTCATGACTTTGACAGAAGCCCTTTCCGACGACAAAGTTCGCACACTGGAAGTTTCAGAAGTTCCGAAGGAGCTTCTCGTAGCAGCCATTACAGTAAATCCGATCTGAGCTACAGCCTCGATTGACCGCTACCAACGATGGGTACCGTACAGGTTACTATATATAATCTTTCGGAATTAAAATTCTTCAGACCAAGATTGACACCTTTTCATACCCAAACTGACGTGCTCGATTCACCCCTCTTCGCATGATCAAGCTAGACACTGCTGCAAAGCCTCTCCCGAAATCAGTCACGCCCAATTCTGTTGAGTGCTTCAAACGAGTGGGAGAGAGCGGGCGAAGCGGGGTTAGAAGTCTCAACTTCCCTAGCCTCAGAAAACCTCGCTTCACCGTAGCAATAAAAAGAGGGAGATTTGTTTCTAAAGAGAGTGAGATCCTGATTTCACTAACTGAAGACCCTGACCTGCTGGTTCGAGTTATTTTACTGGGGGAGTTTTCATAGTGAAGCGGGCTTCGGGGAGATGGCACCATCACTGACGGCACTCATAGTATTTAACCACAAATCACTCTTTAACTTGGGTTTGCTCTGACTGTGTCATAAGAATCTTTATATTTTCCCTGCGGAGAGGTCAGATACTCCAAAACATGAGCGGCAAAGTCGATGGGATAGCTTCTACGACAGGCCACGACGATCTTCTTCAGCACCAACAGTGGATTATTCCAGAAACCGAGCTGTACGTAGAACCTCATTTCAGGAATGATCATTCGTCATAAGTACTTTCCACATCCTTGAGATGCGATAGGCGCAGTTCGGCGACGGGGGGTGGAAGTATTTCGCACTTCTGCTATTCCTCGATTGTATCGACCACATGCAGCAGCCTCTTTCACGAATCGTTGAAAAGTTTTACCCGTGATGGCTCGACGACCTTGCTCCAGCTTCACAAGAGTTCACAGGGGCGCATTTCGGCGACGGGGGGGGGTAGGAGCATTTTGCTTCCCATCGATGCGTCGACCCATCTAGATAGCCTTTTCTTGGGTTGACATGTTTCACCGTGGTGGCTAGACGAGCTCGCTCCAGCTTCACAAAGAGTTCCTAGGCTTCACCAGAGTTGTAAACCGGAGGTAATGAAGCAGTGAAAATGCAAAATCCCCCTCCCTCCGTCGCCGAACTGCGCCGTTCACAGGTTTGAAACTGTTAACTAGTGAAGCAATGGCAGCCGACACGGTATGCGTGGTTACATTCATATTATTGAGAAACTGCCAATCAGTGAGAAACTACCTGCGGCCTTCCCTCCACTGGTTGTTTTCTTCCTTAATCAATCACACTCGATCTCTATTGGTAGAGCAAGGCAGCCGCAGGCAGCTCATGCTGGGCTGCTCTCGCGTCGCCCCACTCGTTGCGATGTTATAGACTATACCTCGTTCAAACATTGCGTGGGAAGGGTTATTCGTGCGATATTTCAATTTGAGACAGTTGCCATCCTGTACTGTGCTGGAATGATTGTCTCAGAATGGAACGATTCAACCAGAATACTGCTGCCACTACGTTTGAATGGAGTTCCTAGCCAGGCAGCGTCCAGACTTCGTGACGACGCGCGTCGACGCGCTACGACGCGGTGTCACCGCCAGCTGACGCTCTAGTAGACGGGCGTCGTTCGATACAGTGCGTCGACGAGCGTCACTCGAGAAGTCTGAGTGTTGCTCATTGCCAGGAATCTCAACCCTACCCTTTCGTGTGAGTATGCGTGTGCGTGCCTGCTCACGAAATTCGTAGCGCCCGTCACACATGAAGCAGGAAATTGTTTCCAATGGATAATGGTAGAGGAGAGAGAGACGGAACATTTTTTTGGGTAGCAGAAAGTGGTAACAGCTGTTAAGATCTGATGAGGAGCTTCAGAAGATCCACAAATTCGTCCCAAACTCATAGCGCAGGTCACACCACTGCGGTTTGACGCTGGTTTCAAGAAGTGATAGAGCGAGGGGCTAAGACAGGAATTATTGTAGGCCGTGATAACAGGAAGCGATAACAACTGATAGAAGCGAAAGTGTGCGCCATCCAAAGCCGCTGCGATGACTAGCAAGTATCAATGCTGTAGACCCCATATATTATTCTTACTCTTAGACTTTCCGTTTTTCAATGACTGAAGTTCAAATCAAAGATCTCTGTTCCGCAGGTGAGCGTCAGTGTAGCACATCGTGGAGACTCGTCGCT